TGTTCACACAAAAAAAAAAAAAAAAAACAGAAATCACTTAAAATAGAAAAGCACGTATATAATACTTATAAAAATGGAAATAGAGAAGAAACTGATACTAAAAAGAAAAAAAAAAAAGCTGTCGATAAATTATAACCACCGACGAACGAAAGAGAAGAAAACACAATTAGAGAGTTTTTTTGTAACCGTAATTGTAATTAAAGAGAAGAAAGAATGGAGAAGCTATCATCAGCTGCTGTAGTTCCTCAGCTTCTCCGCAACATCATCATCGCCGTCGTTGTTTTCGCCGATGAATCTCTCCTTCAGATCTCCGGGAATTCAAAGCTCCTCGAGAAACTCCGTGTATTTCTCGTCACATGTTTCCTCTTCTTCATACGCTCTCTTCCTTCAGTCGTCTCTTTCGCAAACCCTAATTCGTCGAAGAAGAAGAAGAAGAAGAAGATGCTGGTGATCAGCGATTGCGAAGAATCGGGAATCGGTCGAGCGATTTGGCAGTTATTGTCGGCGATGAATGAAATTCCGGTGAGTTCTAGAAAGTACCAAGTGGTTCGATCGTTGGCGGAGAGACTAATCGACGAGAATCAGGGAGAGAACTCAATCGCCTTGTTCGATTTGAACCGTAGGGTTTTAAACGCGTCGTTTCGTACAACTCTAAGCCGGTTAGAGGCGGCGGTTGAGCGTAACAGTAACCGGAGAGATATAAGTGAACCGGTTCGTCGTGGATTAAACCGGGTTGTGAGAGCTGCGGTTAGAGCCGTGGGAGATGGATTTATCGGTTGGGGTGGAGAAGAGACGGCGGATCAGACGGCGGAAACGTCGGAGAAACTGGCGGCGGAACTGCTTTGGCTGGCTGAGAAGATGGCGGTTTATGGATTCGTGGATGAAGCCGTTGAGAAATGGGCTTCGGCTTCTAACTTGGCTTGGCTTGCTCTTTCGTCTGAGCCACGTCTTCAATGCTCCTTGGTCCAAATTTCTGGTAATTTTTATTTTCACCGCTTGATTTTTACATAACTTTTTCGTAAATATGGTAGATAGAATATTCTCTTTCCCAATTTGGAAAAAAGAAAGAAAATAGGATTATACTCTTTTCTATTTGGAATGTTTTTTTTTTTTTCTTTTGTCTGGTAAAAATATTTTGACTTTCCAAAACAAATTTTCATTAATATTCCACTTAAATTTTGGATCCTAAAAGATAATTGTTCTTTATTTCTGTGAAGCTTTATTGTTCAAAGAAGCCAAGGACATTAAAGAGGGAAAAGAAGAAGAAGCAGAGGAAGCAAACTTGAAAGAGATAAAGAAGAAGATGCTTATTTCGTGGATTCCATTGCTGTGCCGGGCCAGCAACGGAGCGGATAAACCGGTTTTAAGAAGTGCCGAACGAGCGGATCTCGAGAAAGTGTTGGAGAAGATGATATCTGAACTAAATGAAGAGGAGCAAGAAAGAGTTCTCTCACTCTGGCTTCACCATTACACACACTGCTCTTCCTCTGACTGGCCTGACCTCAACGGCTCTTATGTTCGTTGGTGCCATTCTTCTCGCCAGCTTTTGCTCTTACGCCATTCTTCTCATATATCTCCTTGATACACAAGTAGACGTCGCTACAATATTTTCAATAGCATTGATCTTTTGTATATCTTAATTATGTACTACAGTAAGTTTTGCCCTTTAGAAATATTACTTGTTATCAATAGGAAATATGGATTTTGCCAGCAAAACAACATTGAAATGCCTAATTAATATAACTCTCTAAAGCCAAGTCCACCTACTGATCTCATCTTTGTTAATTTCCTCCAGAAATTTATTGCATGTTTTGAAGGTCAAGCACAAATGAGTTGTGGGTTCAATGTAGGGACCCGGCTTGATAAAATCAGGTCCTAACGCTTTGTCTGTTATCAAATCCATATTTCCCTTGTGCTCGCTTTGGGATAGAAAACAAACTACATAATCATTTACTAAATTATACAATTTAAATTAAAAAAGAATTGCATAAAAATTTAGAAAACATATAGTACTATTTTATAAAGAAAAAAAGGGGAAACTTAAAACAAACATACTATACTAGTACATTAATTAAGTTGCCTTGTGACATTTATTCTTTATTTTATTAGGTGATACTTATAAGTAAAAAATATTCAATATACTGCCTCATCATCCACGCTCAAAGCTCGAATTGCATGGTTTAGTACCATTGGGATAACGAAAACGGGGGGCATGAATCCTACAAGGAGGTAATCTAGAGGAGTCAATTCTGATGAAGAATGTTGATAAGACGACCACTATTAAAAGTTTTCGTGATTAAACCATTGGTTGACTAAGGGTTGATTAATGCTCTACACAAAGAGGTCTGGGGTTCGAGTCCCAGATATTGCGATTTATTAACAAATTTGCAGATTAATGGAGGCAAGTGTGCAGGAGATCTCCAGCGATGTACAATTATAACCGTTAGTCTGTCGTGGATCTAGTAAGGGTCGGAAGGAATTGTCAGTTGTAGAATCGTCTATATAACAGTTCTCATAATTTGCAATTAATAATAAATCTAGACGATAATGTGTTTTTCTGTTGTGCTAATTTTAAGGCTATGAAATGGGATTGATGGTTCAGGCCATAAACATAGTATTATCGACGATTGGTTATGAACACAAGAAGATTATGGACCAAAATCTGTAATTCCTACAGTTTATATATCAACAAAAAAATAAAAAGAAGAAGTAATTGATGCTTTTTCAAATGAATGTTACATGTTTCCAAAATGAATATATAAATGTTACAGTTTAATCGCTAAATGTTTTCTTAGCTTGCCATTCTTGTGAATGTCTGTTATAGAAAATTATAGCGAATAGCCGAATATCACTACAACTTACCTAGAGATCGTTGTATTTGTTATTGCTAAATACGATAGTGACCTTACGTGGCATGTATATAGTTTTTTGAATACTAAATTAGGTAGATTTTATTTATTTGCACAATAAATTAACCATTAATCCCCAAACCTTAATCACACGAATTTGTATTGAAAAAAAAAATCTTACAAAAAGTTTAATATGTATTTTAGTTTAGACAGATTCAGAATTCAAACAATTTAGCTACACTTAACTTGATGGGAAATTGTTAAAAATATCCATTTTGGTGTGTTTCTTTTCAAAAATGCTCCTTTTAGTTGTCCATTTTAAAAAATGTCCCTTTTTAAATCTGAAATTTTTATAAAGTTTTATTAGGTTTATAAAGTAGTTATGAATTATAACTACTACTTGAAGACTCGATCCAAGTATTTATAAGGTTTTATAAGGTGTTTTTAAAGGTTTTACAAGTTATTTTAAAGGATTTTTAAGGTTTTTCAAAAGTTTTACAAGATATTTTAAAGGATTTTAAAGGTATTTAAAATGCATTTACAAGGTATTTATAAAGTATTTATAAGATTTTAGATACATAGAAATGTAGTTTGTGTATGTTTTAATAATATTACATACATATTTGGGTAAATCTTATATTTTTAAGAGCATTTTTTATAAGGTTTTAAAAAAGAGGTATTTTTGAAAAGTGGCATTGAAAAAGTGGCATTTTTACAAAAGCCCCTAACTTGATTCCGCTGTTACCATTTAAATTTAGAAAAATATTATATATTACAATAATCTAAACTCGTTTAAGCTAAATAACTTAGGAAAACCTTTGTATTAAATATTTGTGTATATGAAGTTGATAGAGCATTTAAAGGGAAAGAAATATTGAAAACAGCTATAGAGAAATAGACGATTTGTTTATCTGTTTTATTTAGTCACTCTGTTTTGAAACATAGTCCGTTTTCTAAAAAATATCTAAAAGATTTGATGAAATCAAGTACTCTTTCTATATTAAAAATATTGATTTTATAGAGTTTTCACCCCAAATAAGAAAAACATTTAATGTTTAGTTATAAATGCACTATTTATTTATACTAAACCATTTCTCATAAATATTAACCAATAGTAATTCATCAAATTTTAAAATTTTCAATTAATGATCCTTGAAATTCACAATTTATTACTCCCTCTGTTTTCGAATAGTTGTCGTTTTAGAGAAATTTTTTTTGTTTTTAATTAGTTGTCGTTTTCAGTTTTCGATGCAAAATTTATTACTTTTTACTTTTTATATTTATTTTTATTGTGCAACTTGATTTACTATTGGTTAAATTATGTTTAGGTAGATAATTAATGATATTTTTATATTGAAAAACTAACAACATTAATAGTTTCTTAATTTGTGTGCATATAGTTAAAACGACAACTATTCGAAAACAGAGGGAGTAACATTAATTGATAAAAATTTACAGAAAATTTATCTTTTTTATACAAAAATAAAACCTAAAAAAATCATTCTTTATGATATAGAGGGAGTAAATGCAAAATTGTCGTTGATTGTTCAATCCACCCATGGTGACAAAATTTTCAAGGACCCAAAATCAAGAAAGTCAAAGTTGAAAGGTCACAACAACATGTGTTATTTTCTTCAACAATTGATTGTTTCTCCATCAAAATTAAATTGTACACCCATGATCACGGGCGGACCTATTTAGAGAGTAGGTGGGTCACCTGACCCGGGTAAAATAATTAAATAGTTGTTTTGCATGTAAAATCGGTAAGTACTAATAGCTCAGTTGGTAAGTTTCAGGGTATTAGTCCTCTTAACTCAAGTTCGACTCTCCACCTTGGCAACTTTAATTTAGTTTTTTACCAATTTAACTTATATATACATGTTTTTTTCCTCTTATATATTTTTAATTCTTTTAAAAACCACAGTGTTTTATATACCTTTTCTAATTGCTTATGAAAATAATTTTAAAGTGTTTATGTAATATAAAATAAATTATATAATATTATTTAAGAAAAATTATTGACCCGGGTAAAATTAATTTTTGGGTCCGCCACTGCCCATGATATTGGGATTTGGAAATATCGCACTAGTGAATAATAGAAAAAAACTAAAAACAAGAGAAATTGAACATTTATTTATTTCACATAAGCATTTAAGACAAAGTTGGTAGGGTTTGAACATAATTTAAAGATATATATATATAGTTTGTAGAGAAAATTGAACACATCATGTAACTTCAATTTCAGTATGTATGGAACTGTCCTTGTTGAGAGTTGAGAGTTGAGACGCGAGCAAACACTTCTTTAATTCATTAACAACGTGGGACATGGTCGGTCTTTCCGAGGAAGATGGGTTTAGGCAAGCCATGGCTAACTCAATAGATTGCAATGCAGAGCCAGAATGATAATTTCCATCGAGCCTTGGATCCACGATGCTGCTCATGTCTCCATTGGTAAGCTTTGCTCCTACCCATCCTCCAATATGATGCTTTTCACGGCTTTGGTCAACTACAGCTTGGTTTGTGAGCAGCTCCAACAGTACGACTCCAAAACTGTATACGTCGCTTTTAGCCGTCAACCATCCTGTTTTGTAATACCTGTACGTAAAACCAAAAACAAAAATATATATTTTGTGATAATTCAAGAAACAAAGACAAAAAAAAAAAAAAAAACTTTGTGAGAGGTTACACTAACTCTGGATCTAGATACCCCGGAGTTCCAGCAACAACCGTTGACACATGGCTTTCACCTCTGTCTGGGAATGACTTTGAAAGTCCAAAATCAGCCAGCTTGGCTTCAAAATGGTCATTCAACAAAATGTTTGTTGTCTTGACGTCTCTATGTACTATTGCCTGAGCGCATCCGCTATGTAAATAGTCTAATCCTGTGCCACAACAATATATATTAGCTTTCTCAAATGTATAAGCAAATAAATAAACAAAAATTTACCTTGTGCAGTCTCGGTCGCTATCTTAAGTCTATTTTCCCAGCTCATGATAAAGTTATTACGTGTTCTTCCTGCGTAAATGAAGAGATGTGTGAATGTCAAACCACACGAGATAACCATAAAAAAGTTGAGTCGTGTTTTGTCTAATTACGTACCTGACATATGTTCTTTTAGATCTCCATTGGCCATATACTCATATATGAGTGCCAGATTCTCTCCCTCGTCACAGTACCCAACAAGGCCAACCAAGTTCTTGTGATGAACCCTGAGAAGTAGCTGTACTTAAACACCAAACCAGAGTTTATGTGTAGTTAAACCATGGACGTTTTCATGAAAGAGACTAAGTTTGCGAGGGTAAGTACGTATATAAGAGTAAAATAAAACCTCGGCTCTGAACTCTCTATCTCCTTGCGAAGATGAATGAGAGAGGACCTTCACAGCTACTTGTTCGGCACCATTGACAAAACCAAGATAAACGCTTCCAAACCCTCCTTCCCCGATGACTCTTTGGAAGTTTTTAGTCATGGTTGTGACTTGTGAGTAAGTAAACCTTGTGATTCTCGTCGTTACAGTCAGCTCAGATGATGCAGGGGATGGACCATGGGATGATGCAGGGGATGGACCATTGGACGATGGTGGCCCTGAGACTACGTACAAGTCAAAATATTCAATCAATTGTTTGATGGATATATATATATATATAGGATTGCATCTTGTAATTAATTTAAGAATACCTTTTAGTGACCTTTTCTGTCGGCAAAGGAAGAAGATAACTAGTGCAGTTACAAGAAGAGCAAGGGAAGTAACAACCACTGCTATAGAGACTGGTACTACGATATCTTCTTTACTCACACATGGTCCGGATTTGCTAATGATATGTGGGTTGCCTTCAACACTGGATAATATGAAGAAGAATGTTAATTCTAGCTATATATATATCAACCGGAAAATAATGTCAAATAGCTAGAAAAGTATGTCTCACTTAAATTTTAATCCTTTCTTCTCGACAATTGTTTTCGGAACCCAGCCGCTAAGATTGTTGTCGCTTAAATTTCTGTCAGAGTAATTAAGAGAGTCAAAACAGAAACACATGGCAATTATATATAACCAAAAGGAAGGTGGAGAAATGTTACATGAGAAATAGAGATTTCATGTCGGCCAGAAAGTCAGGTACTCCTCCGCTCAAACTGTTGTTTGACAAGTCTCTATGATAAATAAATATATATTTAACGTAAGAAAAGTTACACACCAGATCAGATTCATGACAAATTAATATATATGTGTATATATAGGTTTTGGTCAGAATTAGTGGAGCTAAAGACTTACAATTGTTGAAGGTGAGCTAGATTTTGAATTGCTTCCGCGATCACCCCCGTTAAACCACTTGAAGATAAGTCTCTATAGACATGAAGATGGTAAAATAAGTAGTTACGTTTGACACATGATTAAAAAAGAAAAAAAAAAAACTATAAGATAAATTATTGAATGATATATTACAAAGAAATAATCGTGGGTGTTGGTGTCGGATCCCGCACTAGAAGTACGAGACCAACCAAAGATTGCCACGTAATCGGGTTAATGGCCCGTGAAGGATGAAGCCCATTAGACCCGCGAGCCGAAAGGATGGTCGAAGTGGTTGTCACCATTTAGATAATCCGAAGTGACTGCATTGTGACACGAGTTCGGTGTAGAAGACACGGGTAAGTCGGTTCAAAGACATTTGGGCCAGAAGAGGCGAGGCCCATGAAGATCAGAGTCAACTCAAATTCAAACGTTGAGCATTAAAGCCGAAGAATCAAAACGGGCACATTTAAGAAGGAATAATTGTACTTAATTACTCATTTTAAATGTCGTTTGGCTATGTATAAATATAGAGGCCAATAGCCATGTAAAGGGGATCACCCTCTCAAGAGAGAAAGAATATAGCAATTTTTCGTATCAATTTATAAGTTTTTTGCATATTTATTTTTGTCCCTCAAGAATAATCTTTCCCACTTAACAAAATACTTGAGTGTGTGAATCCGACATCCACATTTTGGCGCCGTCCGTGGGGAACTCAGGATTCTTGAGTGGTCAGATTTCTTCTTTTCTACATTTCCGAGATAAGCGACAATGTCTGGAGGAGACGCCGTTGAGACATCATTGGCCGAAACCCTCAAAGCTATGCAGCAAACCATGTCAGACATATCACAAAAGTTCTCGGATGTGGAGAAGGCCGTCGATACGTTGCAAACATCCCAGGTATCTCTTAGTGAAAATGTCAATAATATACAAACTCGTGTTCGCTCTTTAAGTGCAGGAAACCCGGTGGGAACCCGAAGAGGGATATTCAACTCGCCAAATTCCGCTGCACGAAATGAAACCAGCGGACAAACAACTCCCGGTGCTACTAATAATGTAGCTCAGACGTCGGAAGAAGAGACGCAGCTTGGGGATGAAGAACATCTTGCAGCTCAGTACGAGCAGGAGAACCTCGACCAGTTCGAGACCATGAGGAAGGTTAGCCAGGAATTAAAAGAAATGAAATCAAAATTTCATCAGGCTACAAGTTCGGAGCCAGACATCAATCGAGTCATTGAAGAAGCTAGGCGAACCCCTTTTATCCCGCGAATCGCAAGTTTGAGGATCAAGGATTCCCGGAAGCTCAAGTTGGACCCTTACAGCGGGTTGGAGGATCCAAAAAGCTATCTTGCAGCCTTTCTGATCGCCGCAGGAAGAGTCGAGTTGGATGAAGCTGATGAGGACGCAGGCTATTGCAAGCTGTTTTCGGAGAATCTATGTGGCCAAGCTCTAATGTGGTTCACCCAATTAGAGCCGGGTTCGATCAGCAATTTCGACGAACTGTCAGCCGTATTCTTAAAGCAATACTCTATCCTTATGGATAAAAGCGTTTCGGATGCCGATCTTTGGAACTTAACGCAAGGATCTAATGAGTCACTTCGAGTTTTCATCACCAAATTCAAGGGAGTGCTGTCAAAACTCCCAAGAATCTCACAGCAATCAGCTTTATCTGCCCTACGAAAAGGATTGCGACATGATTCAAGGTTTAAAGAAGACTTAATACTTCATAAACCAGATACAATTCAGGATGCACTCTTCCGTGCAAACAATTGGATGGAGGTAGAAGACGAAAAAGAAAGTTTTGCCAAACGGAATAAACAAGAAAAGCCGGCAGTCACCATCCCTACCAAGAAGTTCGAGCCTAGAGAGAGCAAAGGACCAAGGAAGTTTGGGTCGCAACCCATCAACAATTCCGTCGGGAAGCAATTCCAAGGGAAAGGAAGATCAAACACTTGGGTCCGTGATGAAAGTCTATATTGCGACATTCATAAAGTAACCGGACATTTAACCAAGGATTGCAGCGTTCTTAAAAAGCACCTCGCAGAGCTTTGGGCTAGTGGTGATCTTTCTAAATTCGATATAAAAGATTTTGTGAAGGAATACCACGAAGCAAAGGAAAACTCCAAAGATCAAGATTCCAAAAGACCAAGGTTATCCAACGAGGAAGAACCGAGAAGTTCGAAGGGGAGGATCAATGTGATTCTAGGAGGTTCCAGATTTTGCGGAGATTCAATAAGTTCCATCAAAAAACATAGACGAAATATCTTACTCAAAGCAAGCTTGAGTGAAGAAATTGATTTTCAAGGTGCTTCAATATCATTTAACGAAGAAGAAACGCGGCATCTCGAAAGACCGCATGACGATGCTCTAGTCATTACTCTTGACGTCGCAAACTTCGAAGTATCAAGGATCCTTATAGATACAGGCAGTTCGGTCGACTTGATCTTTTTAAGTACTCTAGAAAAAATGGGAATCAGCCGAGGAGACATAGTAGGACCCCCATCTCCATTAGTTGCATTCACAAGCGAGTCAACCATGTCTCTCGGAACAATCAAGCTACCGGTCCTTGCCAAGAAGGTATCGAAGATCGTGGACTTCATTGTCTTCGATAAGCCCGCTGCTTACAACATCATCCTCGGGACTCCCTGGATTTATCGGATGAAAGCAGTCCCCTCTACATATCATCAATGTATCAAATTTCCAACATCAAATGGGGTAGAAACAATTCGGGGAGATCAAGAAGCTTCACGGACTTGTTACTTAGCTAGCCACCGTATGAAAATTCAATAGCAATTAACGAAGCCCGCAAAAGAAGGACTAAAAACAAAATTTCTTAGTGGGCAGAAGAAAGAGGATGTAGTAGTCGAAGTAGTACTGGAAGAGGATAAGCCGGACCGGAAAATTAGAATTGGAGCAACTTTGACTGGCCAAATAAAAGAAGCTTTGATCGAACTCTTAAGGCAAAACAAAGCATCATTTGCATGGTCAGCAGCGGACATGCCGGGCATAAATCCGAGTATAATTTGTCATGAACTAAACGTAGATCCAAGCTTCAAACCGGTGAAACAAAAAAGAAGAAAGCTTGGAGTGGAGCGGGCAAAAATAATAAACGACGAAGTGGATAAACTCTTGAAGATAGGGTCCGTAAGAGAAGTGCAATACCCGGAGTGGGTAGCAAACACTGTCGTTGTCAAGAAAAAGAATGGGAAAGATAGGGTTTGCATCGATTTTACAGACCTGAATAAAGCATGCCCCAAAGATAGTTTCCCGCTCCCGCATATAGATCGACTTGTAGAGTCCACCGCTGGAAATGAGCTGTTAACGTTCATGGACGCCTTCTCGGGTTATAATCAGATAATGATGAACCCCGACGATCAAGAAAAGACGTCATTCATCACAGATAGAGGTATCTACTGTTACAAGGTAATGCCTTTTGGCTTGAAAAATGCAGGAGCAACTTACCAACGGTTGGTGAACAAAATGTTTCACAATCACCTCGGGAAGACTATGGAAGTCTACATAGATGATATGTTGGTTAAATCGTTGAAGAAAGAAGATCATGTTAAGCATTTGGAGGAATGTTTTGATATTCTCAATAAATATCAAATGAAGCTGAACCCGGCGAAGTGCACATTTGGAGTCCCATCCGGAGAATTCCTTGGTTATATCGTGACAGAAAGAGGGATTGAAGCCAATCCAAATCAAATTAACGCCTTTCTAAACATGCCATCTCCGAAAAACTTCAAAGAAGTACAACGGTTGACTGGGCGAATTGCGGCCTTGAATCGTTTTATCTCGAGATCTACAGATAAGTCGTTGCCTTTCTACCAAATTCTAAAAGGGAACAAAGGATTTCTTTGGGATGAGAAGTGTGAAGAAGCTTTTGGGCAGCTTAAGGCATACTTAACCACTCCACCTATACTGTCCAAACCGGAAGTGGATGAAAAACTCTACTTGTACGTTTCAGTTTCAAACCACGCGGTTAGTGGAGTCTTGGTTCGGGAAGACCGTGGGGAGCAGAAACCAATTTACTATGTGAGCAAGTCAATGACGGATCCGGAAACCAGATATACAATGATGGAAAAACTTGCACTTGCGGTGGTAACTTCGGCTCGGAAGTTGCGTCCATATTTTCAGTCCCATCCAGTTGAAGTATTAACTAACCAACCACTCAGAACAATACTTCATAGTCCAAGTCAATCCGGACGTTTGGCGAAATGGGCGGTGGAATTAAGCGAGTACGACCAGAACTTCAAACTCCAGGAACGAT